GAGATCCACCTGGCTCTGCCTCCTGAGTGCTGGGATTAAAGGCTTGCGCCACCACCGCCCGGCACCTATGCTTGGTAGGTTTATGGGCTGCTAAGGATTGAATCTGGGGCTCTGAATGCTAGGCAATCTTTCTACCAATTGTGCCACATTACCAAGCCCTTGTGTGATCTTTATTCCATTAAAACATGATGAAACACTTGAAGGTGTTTATTGTAGCAAAACTCAAACCTCTATGAAGTTAAAAATAGTTATTTTTCTCCCAGTAATTGGAGAGCAATTGCCTTTTTTTTCATTGCTTTTCTTTTCAATTAAAATTGGTGATTTAGTCACATGATTTAAAATTCAAAAATCCTAAAAGGATTCAGAATGGAAAAGGCCTTTCTACCTCTATTTTCCGGCTACTTCTCAGGTCTTTTCCTCCAAGGTCACCAGTATAAACCAGTATAGACTTGTCCTTTTGTCCTTTGAGATATATTCTGTCATTCCAGGTTTTATTTTGGAATCTATTAAATAGGAAGATGACTCAGAGGCCACACACACACACAGTTTTTTTTTTCTTTTTTAATTTGGTGAACTGAGGCTCACTTTTGCCTGTAGAGAAAAATATCAGTAGACTGTCTGGTGATGGTGGTTGGATTTGACTATAATACAAGCCCTTGGGAGGCTGAGGCAGAGGGAAGGGAGAGTTGGGACCAGCTATGACTCCATAGCAGGACTCTGTCACAAGTATAAAAAGAAATACAAACCAAAAGAACACAGCAAAACCGGACCACAGAACAAAACAAACACAACAGTCCCAAGAGCCAGTGTAAACAGAGGAAGGAAGGATGGCTTCTTGGTCCTTTGGCAGATGCCACAGAGTGCTGCGGTGGTTCGTTTTTTGTCAACTTGACACAAACTAGAGTCATCTGGGAAGAGGGACCCTCAATTAAAGAAATGCTTCCATCAGATTGGCCTTTAGGTAATCCTGTAGGGCATTTTCTTGGTTAACGATTGATGTGGGAGGGCCCAGCCCCTTGTGGGTAGTGCCACCCCTGGACAGGCGGTCCTGGGTGGTATAAGAAAGTAAGCTGGGGAAGTCATGGGGAGCAAGCCAGTAAGCAGCATCCCTCCATGGCCTCTGCTCAGTTCCTTCCCTGCCGGAGCTCCTGCCTTGGCTTCCCTCAGTGATGCATGGTGAAGGGGATCTGTAAGCCAAGTAAACCTTTTCCTCTCCAAGTTGCTTTTGGTCCAGCTGTTTTGTTACCGCAATAGAAAACGAACTAGCAAAAGTGAGAAGGGACTGTGAAGGGGGTTGAATGTAGTCTTTCAGGTCATTTTAAGGGAGGTCAGAGCGCTGCTCTAAGGAAGGATGGCTAAACATTAGGTACAGATGTGGCTGAAGAAATCAGTGTCTGGGGCCATTGAGATGGCTCAGCGGGTAAGGGAGCTTGCTGCTAAGCCTGATGACCCGAGTTTGATCCCCGAGTCCCACAGAATGGAAGGAGAGAACTCACTCCACCGTTGGTTGATTATTCTCTGAGCTCCACACACTGTGGCACAAATGTATCCCCTCCCCCCACAGAATAAATGAATGAAGGTCAAAAAAACTTCTCATGTCATTTGTGATGGGGAAGAGAATTTCAGTGTGGCCAATAAGTGCCTCTTCTGAAGAGAACCTTGCACGCGACAGCTGGGAGAAGAAAGCTGTTGGAGGTTAAACCGCCCAAGGTGTATCTTTATAAAAGGGGTCACGCCATAGTTTATATGTAGGGGCGGTGATCAAAGAAGCAGCAAAACAAGAGCGCTAGGCAGCTTCAGCTGGCGTAGTTGGGAGATTGACACCTAGGTGGGCAGAGGGCTGGGCCTTCAGTCAGACTGGATCGGGCGTCAGGAGTGGGCAAATCAGAAAAAGTGACCATGCCTTGAGAAAGCTGAGTTTCTGTTGAGGTGTTCATAGCTCAAAGCATATCGTTAAGATGTATGGCCAGTGTGCCCAGAAGTAACCCCAATAACTACACAGATCCCTAGCTCTTACCTAAGCAGCTTATTCTACATTCAATCTAGTCACTTACTGGGTCATTTGAGATAGGGCCTTGCTATGTTGCCCAGGCTGGACTTGAACTCTTGGATTTAAGTGGATTCTCTCAGTTCAGCCTCCCAATATCTGAGACTACAGGTTTGTGCCATCACAGCTGCCTAATGTTTTTTTTCTTTGTCATTTTCCTTATTTATTATCTATCTATCCACCTACCTATCAGTCATACATCTTCTACTTATCTTTTTTCTTCAAAAAATTAAAAAAGATTTATTTATTTTATATGTAGGAATGCTTTTCATGGATGTGTTTATGTCACCATGTATGTGGCTTCGGAGGCCAGATGAGGGCATTCGATCCCCTGGAACTGGAATTACAGATGGTTGTTAGCTGCCATGTGGATGCTGAGAACTGAACCCAGGACTTCTGCAAGGGCAGTAAGTTCCCTTGACTGCTGAGTCATCTCTTTGGCCTCAGTATGGGATTTTTATTTCTTAACATTTTATTTACTTATTTTTTTGTAGTGGGTGGTGATTTTATTTATTTATTTAGGTTTTTCAAGACAAGGTTTCTCTGTGTAACCATCCTGGCTGTCCTGGAACTCACATTGTAGACCAGGCTGGCCTCAAATGCACAGAGCTCTGCCTGTCTCTGCCTCCTGAAGCTGGAATTAAAGATGCGTGCCACCATCGCCTGGTTTTTGTTTTTATTAATTTAAAAATTATGTGTACATTTGTGTCTGTGTGGGGATATGTGTATGCGAGTGCAGATGTCCTGTGAGGACACAGACATCAGATCCCTCTGGAGCTGGAGTTTCCCGTACCTGTGAGCCACCCCATGGGGTTCTAGAAACTGTGAACTCAGGTCCCCTAGAGGAGCAGTACATGAGATCTGAATCACTGAACCATCTCTCCAGCCCCAGTATGTGATTTTTTAGTTGTTATTGTTGTTTGTTTGCTTTTCGAGACAGGATTTCTCCGTGTGTAGTCCTTGCTGTTCTGGAACTCGCTCTCTAGACCAGGCTGGCCTTGAACTTACAGTCTGCCTCAGCATCCCGAGTGATGGAATTAAAAGTGTGCGGCCACCCCACTCCCCACCCCCTGCCTCCAAGTCCGTGTGACTTTTAAGAATGGAAGCAGCCAGAGGGACAACCAGATGGCTTAGCTGGTGAAGGTGCTTTGCCTACAAGCCTGATGATTGGAGGAGAGAACTGAATCCTTTAGGTTGTCCTCTTACCTCCATATGTATGCTGCGAAACTTACACACACGCACGCGCACACACACACACACACACACACACACACACAACTACACGCACGCGCGTTAAATAAACATAAAAAAAATTAACACAGTGTGTTTCAGGACAGCCAAGGATATGTAGAAAGATCCTATCTCACCCCCCACCCCGTCCAAATTTAAAATGGGGCTTAGAACTACTTCTTGGGTCTGTGCTCAACATTCTGATCCTAACCTCAAAATCTCACGAGGATCTGAGAGTTGTCTTTCTCATCCCAACACTTGTCAAAAACTTTTTTTTCCTCTCATAGAAATTAATTGTATTTATCTTTTCTTTTCCCCTGGTCTCTTGCTAAAAGAAACATTTCTAAATGCCATTCTCAGGAGAGAACTTTTCTTTCCTTAGCTATTGGAGGACGGTTCAGAGGTTCACTTGTGTTCTGCTTCAAGTTGTTTCCAGGCAGAAGCGGGAAGAAGAAATGGAAAAAAGTGGAGTTTCCTGAGGAAATGAAACTTGGTTTGTGTAATTCTCTGGGGGAATGTTGGACAGGCAGACGTGGTTGTTCACGTTTAAACTACCACTTCAATAAACACTGCCCAAAAATGTGGAATCCAGCTAATTAGGAATAGGAGCCTGGGTCGTTAAGGCCTCAGGACACGGGTATGCTAATAGATTACCTCAAATAAATGGTATATCAAGTCATATATTACGTTAGGGAACGTGCTGATCGTAAAAACCACTGCTCCCGCGTCTGTAACCTGAAGGTAGGTCGGGCTGCTTAGGGGGAAAAATCCTGAGGATATGGCTGCCTGCCTAAGAGTGAAGGACGGGCACAGTCTTTGCGTATCTTGTCAATCATGTCATCTTCGTTTCATCATTCCCTCTTCCTTTGAAGAAGAAAAAAAAAAATCTCAAGTTAAAAATAGCGAAGCCTAAGCTTTTAATGATCGGAGCCTGGCTTAGCCTCTGCCAGAAACAAACGAACTAGCTACGAGAACTCCGCACTGCGGAGCAGAAAGCTACGTCTCTCCCGCAAACCCCAAGGTTTCATCATCTTCCAATGGCTGGCCGAGGCTTTCCAGCTGAAACGCCCACGGGATATGATTGGCACTAAAACCGGCCCATTGTCGCTGATAAGGTGGAAGAGGTGGGATTAGAACTGACCAATAGTGTGCAGGAAGCCGCTGTCGGGGCGGGAGGAAGGCACCAATGAGAGTGCGTGAGGCCGCTCCGGGAAGCGGTGGCAGGAAGCTGGCCCAGCCAATGGCCGCGGCGGGCGGGTGGCGGCGCGCGTGCGCACTGGGGGTCCCGGAGCTGCAGGCGGGAGGTTGGGGGAGGGGAGCGAGCTGGAACGCCGCGGAGCTCCTGCCGCCGCCGCAGCCACCGCCGCAGCGAAGAGGCCATGTTGTGTGGTGTGTGGGGCGGGTGGGGGGGAGGGAGGAGGAGGAGGGAGTAAAGCCGAGCGAGGAGACGGGAGAGACACCACACACGGCACAAGATGGCCGGAGAGGCAGCAGCAACCCGAGCTGTCAGGCGGCCCGCCGCGGCCCAGGGGTCCGCGGCTGCGCCGGGAGCAGCGCCCGGGCGTCCCGGAGGGCTCC